CCACTTATTTATGTATTTATTGGTTGGTACTTGTATGTGCCCTGACCTGGGTTTGAACCCACAACCTTGGGGTATCAGGACAATGCTCTATCCAACTGAGCTACCGGGCCAAGGCTCTGCGTTATATTTTAACTAGAGGCCCGGTGCACGGAATTCGTGCACGGGTAGGGTCCCTAGGCTTGGCTGGTGATCAGGGCTGATCAGGGCCTCTGGCTGCTGGCTGGGGTCTTCCTTTGTTCCGTGCCACCCCTGGTGGTCAGCGCATGTCATAGTGAGTGGTCGAACTCCCGGTCGAACTTCCGAGGGGACACTTTGCATATTAGCCATATATATATATATATATATATATATATATATATATATATATATATATATAGCAGTCATTTGGAAATCATAGCATGAGGTGTGGATATAGGGAGGAGGCAACACAGTAGTCCAGGTGGGAGGTGAGTGAGGAGGAGAAGTCAGATTCTGGAGAAATTTCTCCCCAACTCTTCATTTAAAATTGCCAAACCCACAGAAAAGTTGAAAGAAAGAATGGTGTAGTCATTAGTTACATACCTGTTACTACCTATTTCTTTTTCTTTTTTAAATATATTTTATTGATTTTTTACAGAGAGGAAGGGAGAGAGATAGAGAGTTAGAAACATCGATGAGAGAGAGACATCGATCAGCTGCCTCCTGCACATCTACTGGGGATGTGCCCGCAACCCAGCTACATGCCCTTGACCGGAATCGAACCTGGGACCTTTCAGTCCGCAGGCCGACGCTCTATCCACTGAGCCAAACCGGTTTTGGCCGTTACTACCTATTTCATCCATTATTAGCCTTCAACAAATTTGCCGTGTCTTTGCTTTCATATGCATGCGTGTATGTATGTATACACATTTTCCCCCCTGAACGCTTTGAAAATAGGTTGTGGATGGATGTAACACTTCACTCCTAAATATTTCAGCCTGTATCTCTTAAGAACAAAAACATTCTATATAACAGTGTCATTATCATACCTGAGAATTTTAATACTGATAATAATAATATTGATAACAATATTAATATATAGCTTATATTCTGATTTCTCCAATTGCCCCCCAAAGCCCTTTTTTTACTCTGTATTACTATTTTTTAATTTAAATTCTTTATTGCTTAAAGTATTACATATGTCTCCTTTTTCCTCCATTGACTTCTCCCCGGCCGTTCCCACCCCCCAGCACATGCCCTCACCCCCCTCCATGGGTTATGCTTATATGCATTGTTTATTATTATTTTTAATCTAGGATCTGCTTAGGATCAAGCACTGTATTTCATTATCATGTCTCTTTAGTAACCTTTAGTCTACAACAGGACTCTGCAATCGGCCCACTGCCTGTCTTCATAAATAAAGTTTTATTAGAACACAGCCACACACATTTGTTTGCATTTGGTCCGTAGCTGCAAAGGTGGGTTTGTATGGCCCACAAATCTAAAATATTTATTCAGTGACCTTTTACAGAAAATGTTTGCTGACCCTGCTCTATAACAGCATTCCTGTTCTTCCTTGTTTTTCATAACATTGACATTTGGAAGAGTGCAAGAGTTCCATGGAATGTCCCCCAACCTCGAGTTTTCTGATCGTTCCCTCTGATTTGGTTTACACTGAGCATCCTTGGCAGGACTATCACAGGCATGACGGTGTGTCCTGAGGACATCACCTCAGGGGGCTACTGATGTCTGTTCTTCCGTCATTTGTGATGGTACCTTGGAGCCCTTGGTTAAGGGGGTGACCACCCCATGAACCTTTCCTTTTCCCCTGACTAATGAATAACCAGTGGATTTGTTTGGAAGGTGGAGCCAGCAGGATTTCCTGTGGATTGGGTGTGACGTGCAGCCTGGAGGAGGGGCGGGTTGCACAGAAAGGCCCAGGAGCTCAGCCTGGGACAGGTTTAGTTGGAGATGCTATTAGATATTGTTAAAGTGCACTGACTTTCATCTTTACTCTTCTTATGTTGTTTCTGTCTTCACATTGCTAATTGCCCATCGCTCTGGCCCCTTGATTGTGCGATTAGAATTCCCAGTAGCAGCTTTGCGTCCTCTCAGGTCAGGCCTGGAACTGACCTACACGTCCAGCGTCTGTGCCTTTGGCCGGGCTGCCTCTGACTCAGCAGAGAGGCTGGAGTGGTAGGTGTGTCTGCCTGAGAAAAGAACAGTAAATGCCAGAAGCATAACTCATCGATGATGCACTATGTTGGGGAGCAAGGATCTTTTTAAACAAAGAATTCTGGGCAAGAAAAAAAAATAATAGAGGTTGGTGATGCCAGGCGGTTTGAGGCCACTCTCACCAAGCGCACTGCTGACACTTCAGGGGAGCCGTGGGATGTCTCTGGGCAGAGGGAAGATCCCAGTGTGTTTCTGCTTACTCCTTTGGAATATGCTGGTCATTTTCCTAGTTGACTGCTCACAGTAGGCACAGCAATTGTCCCCCCCAAA